GTGGGGTACACAAAGGGGTGTATTTTACACACACCTGCCACACCAATGTGGTGTGGCTGTACCTTAGGTACAAAGTAGGTGATGTGACTGAACCTGAATTACGAAGGGTCATATCATGGCAGAGAGCCACGTGATCGCTATACTTATTTAAGTATAGTGACTATGCATGTTAGCATAATAATAAAAGGCTAAAGAGCCAGTATTAGTGACTAGTACTAAGTATAGGGTAGGTGCTTCTATATTTAGTGTTAGAAGATAAACATAAATCCGTTTCCAACCTGCTCTGTATAACACTAGTTGCAAACTAGAGCGTTCTATTCCGTATAGTAATTGTATCTTTGATACAAGTCTCTCTGCGAATCGGTTGTTAATGTCGATAGGCACAAGCTTACGAGCTAGCCTAGGAGGGTTAAACACTCTAAGACGTAGAAGCTCTCTGAGCTTGTCTTTCTCTGCACATAGTGCATAAGCAGCTTTGCTACAGTTGTTTAACTACTTCTTCTGCACATAGTGCATAAGTAGCGTAGCTACAGTAGCTCGGCTACACAACTCTTATACTCAAGGTGCAGCCACACCACATTAGTGTGGCAGGTGTGTATGTAATAATACCCGCCTTGTGTAACCCTATTACATAACGTTACTTTTTGCATCCCTTGGTAAGTGAAAGATAACGAAGAACGATATCCAAAGGTTTGGTAGAGTGAATATCAAGAAGGCACTATATACACAAAGTCGTTGTTCTTGTTTTCGTTAACGGTGGCATTCCTACTAATGGTTCAGTATCACGATGGTATTTGCCCTCTACAAAAACTTCAGTAACATTGTGACCATCAAGATTGCTACTCACGTCGCTTTATGGGTTGACCCATAAAGCAGCAGCGGCGACTGTTGCCAGAGTTGACTACATCAAGCCTGCCCGTTTTGCCGGTATTCCTTTTGGTTTGGGGCAGGGCTTGCAAAAGGATATGCTTACATTTTGTCAAAAGAAGAAGAAAAGACAACATCAAGCTCTGTTGTACCTGTCTGTTCTGGAGGTGTTTCGACGTTATTTCTTACGCAAAGTTATTAGTCAATGAACAAGGACATTTGACGGCTTGGTAGCACATTATACACGGCTGTTCGTGTTCTTGTCAACGAGGGCGTTTCTACTACTAGTATCGTAATAGAACAGCGCGATTGAAAACCAATTGATATATTGAATGTCTGGCATGTTTTCTCGTAGCTAACGCGACGTACTTGAGCCCACTTAGTCTTCTTATAGGTTTAGCAATCGTGATCAAAAGTTGCTACTCTTCGCTGTCAAAGGTTTGTTGCAAAACAGCTTCTAGTGCTCAAACCTTCATGTCACTGGTGTCTGTTTGTCTTCACCGACAACCCATCTCCGGTCCAAAGTGGCCAGGAGTATTACTACACCATCTTTTTGAGGGTCACAAGTTTTCTTCCCGATCCTCGTACATTCGTAGCTACCATAAACATACACTCTTGATCATGTTGCTGCGTATGTTCGTCCTCTGCGGTCCTTTTTTTCTTTTCTCGTGTCGCGGACTGGGCATATCATTGCTGAAGATATTGATCGTTGCCTTGGCAAATATTGCCTATCGACTCGTTAATGACAGCAAACAGACATGAACAGTTGAAAGTCAGATGGCCCATTTCAACAACAAGTAGGACAGGTATGCTGTTTATTACGACAGATTCCTATGTCATTCAATCCTTTTGTATTTTGTATAATTTATCATAGGGAAAAGTTCGAATATTGACTAAACGTATGGCACTTAAGACAGTGGTGTCCACGCTGGTGGCGTCTTCGGACGCTGACCTTGAAACCTATTTCATAAGTAATCAAATATCGCCACTTGTCCATTTGATTAATAACTATTTGTCACGTGGTATAGCACTACAGACGCGCGTAGACTGCGATAACAACAACGAGAGCCACGAGGCAGTAGCAGGAACGCTTTTAGTCGACTCTGGTGCCGTGTTTTCGCTCTTTCTCCGTCTAGTAGACGCCCAACCACAGCTGCTACAGCGAGCAATGGACTGCGGGTTGCTGCACGTAACAAGACTGGTCCCTTTCTGTCAGCTCTGCGGTGTCAAAAACGCTAGTGCGGTGGCAAACCTTTCAGACGGTCTTGTCAATAATTTGCTACGTTTTCGACGACTACGGTGATGTTGCGGCAGTTTTACATTCAGCAACTGCACGACCTCTATGTGAAAGTAGTGCAGGCTAAACGGGACCAAGTGGTGGATTTGATTCGAAGCATGTACGAGTTTAGTCTGTCTTTGGGTGGAATGACGACGGCTACGTCAATGATGAAGTTGCTGCTGCTGGACGGGAAGGATTTGGATATGGAGCTGACACTGCAGGACCAGACGATGCTCTATGGTGTAGTACAATGCTACGAGATGTTATTGCCGACCTTGCATCAGCATGTATCAACTTTTCACGACGAGGTAGTGACTCTGCAGCGTTTACGGATTGTGGAGACGAGACAGATGCTTCTTGAAGTGTTAAGACGCTGTGCAGACGTTTTGATGCACAACATAGACTTGTCTAGTGGAGAGAAGCTGCTGGCTGGTCTGCATGCTTTGAGTAATGGCTGTTTGGACGACGATGCCGAGCACGGGTCGTTCCTAAGTGACTTGTGGTATTTTTGCGAGTACAAGGAATAGGTTGCAGACTATTTCGACCGCTGCAAATTAGACTTAGAAAACTTTTTGTACCTGGACATGCTGATAGAACAACTTCCGCGACGACGCATTCTTCCTACGATGCTGATGGATGATCTGGCTGCAAAGGTTCGTCCGAAGGCATTGTTGTCTACTGATTCAACGGAGTGGAAACCACCCAAGACTAGTGATGTGGCCGAAGACGCTATGCTTGCAAGCTCTCAGGTCAACGACACGGAGGCAATGCTGGCCCCGATAGTACATCAAGTGCAAGACTTCTTCCCGGATCTGGGAGATGGTTGTGTAGAGCTCTGTCTCCTATGCTTTGACCTGCAAGTGGAGGTCATGGATAATTACTACTGGGAAGTCATCCTGTACCGACCGGAGGCATATCGTGGACCGGCGATAGTGTTGTGGAACGTTGCTAACAATAACGAAAACATGTCTATGTTGGTGCTGCCAATGGATGTGGCCATGACGGATGAAGCCTTATGGAAGTCGAATAGTCGTTTGCAAAGAAGATACTACGACATGGTATGATGGTTTAAACGACTTTTCACTGACATTGCCCGCCCGACTAATTGCTGCATACGATGCATGAATAACGCAAGAAGCTCATGGCGCTGTAAGGCAAGTGCGAGGTCAACGTTAACAAGTGGCATTTTAACGGGTTTGAAGCAATGCAAGTACGATCTCGACCATTCTGCAGAAGCTATCGCAAGAATGTGCCGACTTCATGATTCTGGCTGAGTTAGACGTTGACACCGTTCTAGGCTGTGGCCTTTCAGTGTCTGAGTTTGTTCCAGTCTCGTTTGAGTCGTCGTGGTGATAGCTGTCACGAATAAAACCATGGGGCTGCTCCTTGTCGTCAGATCGGTAAGTCACGACCCGCTGTTCAAATGACAATGTGAAGGCACCATCTTACTAGTGTGGTTTTATATCAAATGTAGAACGCTTGTGTAATATCACCGGCATGGTCTGTTGGTTGGAGTGTTGCGTGTGAAGTCGATTGGCCAGTTGCATGTTACACATTCTGCTCATGTCCCGATCAGTATCTGGGCACTAGCTTTCACAAGACTACGTCATGTCATTGGAACGCTGACTAAAGCGAAGACTCGTTGACAATATACGAGCACTTTAGCTAGCTAGCTAGCTGCACTTTAACTAGCTAGCTGCGTCACTTATAAGTATATAACGTTACTTTTTGCATCCCTTAGTAAGTATAAAGATAACGAAGAACGATATCCAAAGGTTTGGTAGAGTGAATATCAAGAAGGCACTATCTATATACACAAAGTCGTTGTTCTTGTTTTCGTTAACGGTGGCATTCCTACTAATGGTTCAGTATCACGATGGCATTTGCCCTCTACAAAAACTTCAGTAACATTGTGACCATCAAGATTGCTACTCACGTTGCTTTATGGGTTGACCCATAAAGCAGCAGCGCGACTTTGCCAGAGTTGACTACATCAAGCCTGCCCGTTTTGCCGGTATTCCTTTTGGTTTGGGGCAGGGCTTGCAAAAGGATATGCTTACATTTTGTCAAAAGAAGAAGGAAAGACAACATCAAGCTCTGTTGTACCTGTCTGTTCTGGAGGTGTTTCGACGTTATTTCTTACGCAAAGTTATTAGTCAATGAACAAGGACATTTGACGGCTTGGTAGCACATTATACACGGCTGTTCGTGTTCTTGTCAACGAGGGCGTTTCTACTACTAGTATCGTAATAGAACAGCGCGATTGAAAACCAATTGATATATTGAATGTCTGGCATGTTTTCTCGTAGCTAACGCGACGTACTTGAGCCCACTTAGTCTTCTTATAGGTTTAGCAATCGTGATCAAAAGTTGCTACTCTTCGCTGTCAAAGGTTTGTTGCAAAACAGCTTCTAGTGCTCAAACCTTCATGTCACTGGTGTCTGTTTGTCTTCACCGACAACCCATCTCCGGTCCAAAGTGGCCAGGAGTATTACTACACCATCTTTTTGAGGGTCACAAGTTTTCTTCCCGATCCTCGTACATTCGTAGCTACCATAAACATACACTCTTGATCATGTTGCTGCGTATTTCGTCCTCTGCGGTCCTTTTTTTCTTTTCTCGTGTCGCGGACTGGGCATATCATTGCTGAAGATATTGATCGTTGCCTTGGCAAATATTGCCTATCGACTCGTTAATGACAGCAAACAGACATGAACAGTTGAAAGTCAGATGGCCCATTTCAACAACAAGTAGGACAGGTATGCTGTTTATTACGACAGATTCCTATGTCATTCAATCCTTTTGTATTTTGTATAATTTATCATAGGGAAAAGTTCGAATATTGACTAAACGTATGGCACTTAAGACAGTGGTGTCCACGCTGGTGGCGTCTTCGGACGCTGACCTTGAAACCTATTTCATAAGTAATCAAATATCGCCACTTGTCCATTTGATTAATAACTATTTGTCACGTGGTATAGCACTACAGACGCGCGTAGACTGCGATAACAACAACGAGAGCCACGAGGCAGTAGCAGGAACGCTTTTAGTCGACTCTGGTGCCGTGTTTTCGCTCTTTCTCCGTCTAGTAGACGCCCAACCACAGCTGCTACAGCGAGCAATGGACTGCGGGTTGCTGCACGTAACAAGACTGGTCCCTTTCTGTCAGCTCTGCGGTGTCAAAAACGCTAGTGCGGTGGCAAACCTTTCAGACGGTCTTGTCAATAATTTGCTACGTTTTCGACGACTACGGTGATGTTGCGGCAGTTTTACATTCAGCAACTGCACGACCTCTATGTGAAAGTAGTGCAGGCTAAACGGGACCAAGTGGTGGATTTGATTCGAAGCATGTACGAGTTTAGTCTGTCTTTGGGTGGAATGACGACGGCTACTAAAATTATTGCCGACCTTGCATCAGCATGTATCAACTTCTCACGACGAGGTAGCGACTCTGCAGCGTTTACGGATTGCGGAGACGAGACAGATGCTTCTTGAAGTGTTAAGACGCTGTGCAGACGTTTTGATGCACAACATAGACTCGTCTAGTGGAGAGAAGCTGCTGGCTGGTCTGCATGCTTTGAGTAATGGCTGTTTGGACGACGATGCCGAGCACGGGTCGTTCCTAAGTGACTTGTGGTATTTTTGCGAGTACAAGGAATAGGTTGCAGACTATTTCGACCGCTGCAAATTAGACTTAGAAAACTTTTTGTACCTGGACATGCTGATAGAACAACTTCCGCGACGACGCATTCTTCCTACGATGCTGATGGACGATCTGGCTGCAAAGGTTCGTCCGAAGGCATTGTTGTCTACTGATTCAACGGAGTGGAAACCACCCACGACTAGTGATGTGGCCGAAGACGCTATGCTTGCAAGCTCTCAGGTCAACGACACGGAGGCAATGCTGGCCCCGATAGTACATCAAGTGCAAGACTTCTTCCCGGATCTGGTAGATGGTTGTGTAGAGCTCTGTCTCCTATGCTCTGACCTGCAAGTGGAGGTTGTGGATAATTTCTACTGGAAAGCAACCCACCGCCCACGTTACTTGACGTGCCTCATGACCTAAAACGATCGGATGCTGACTTTGCGCGTTTGGAGGCACAAGCCACTGGTAAATCACCACCCGCGTCAAGAATTGAGAATATGAAGAAGTTTGATCCGAGCCGAGTATGGGTGGGCAAAAAGACAATGGAAAAGCTATACGACCCCAAATTTGGAAACACAGACCATGAATTGGTTGAAAAAATGAAACAGCTTATTGTTATGTACGACGAGGAGAATGAGTACGGAGGAGATGGCGTTTGCGATCGTGTGGAGGGTAGTTATGGTGGTGTTGGTGCACCAGACGAGTACGACGGCGACTACAATGACGAGTTTGATGACTTTGTGCCCTTTGGTGTTCGCGACGGTGGTAGTGCATACGACCAGGACGCCATTTGTGAACGAAACCACAAAATGCGCGCACAGGAGGAAAGGGAAACATTTTGGGATGGAAAGAAGAACCCCCATCTTTGAGATTCCACTGATTTTTGGAGATGATTATAAAGACCGCGACAACAAAGAAGAAAAGGACGATTTGGGCGAGCAAAAGCCTTGCCTGCCGATGCCAGGTCGGCAACAGTATCTTTCAGGCCTGAAACACAAGTCTGCACGACAAAAAGACAGTAAGCAAGCCGGTGAAAAGAAGCTTGACGAGCCTCTAACACCGCAGCAAATCCAGCGCCAACGAGCAAGAAAAGACAAGAACAAGTCCAAGATAGCAAACCACAATTGAAAGGACCGTGCGATGAAGAAAATGGGCTGAGAGTTCGTTAATGCGAGATTGTTATCGTGAAACTTCGCGAATAATTACGTTAATCCTATTGAGCGTTACTGCAATGTTTTGAAGAACTATTGAGCAAAAAGGTGAGTCCTGGGACGTGCCGTACGCGGCTTGTTACTACTCCAACTTGGCAGTACGTCAACAAGCCCCAACGCTTCTCCCCCAATAAAAAAAAAAAAAAAAAAAAAAAAAAAAAAAAAAAAAAAATAAAAAAAAAAAAAAAAAAATTTTAAAAAAAAACACTTTATTTTTCTTCTTTTTTTAAAAAAAAAACCCTCCTTCCCTCCTTTTTACAAAAAAAAACTTCAAAAAAAAAAAAAAAAAAAACAAAAAAAAAAAAAAAAAAAAACCTTTATTCCTCCACCACTAATTTTTTTTTTTTTTTTCTATTAAATTAAAAAAAAATTTTTTTTTAAATTAAAAAATCAATCAAAAAATTTTTAAAAAAAAAAAAAATTTTTTCAAAAAATTTTCAAACACATTTCAAATTTTTTTTTTTTTTTTTTTATATTTTTTTAATAAAAAAAAAAAAAAAAAAAAAAAAAAAAAAAATAAAAAAAAAAAAAAAAAAAATTTTTTTATAAAAAAAATTTTTTTAAAAAATTTTTAAATATTTTTTATTTTTTAAAAAAATCAACAAAACAAACAAACTCAAAAAAATTAAAAAAAAAACAATAAAAAAACTAAAAAAAAAAAAAAAAAAAAAAAAAAAAAAAAAAAAAAATTTAACCCCCCCAAATTTTAAACCCCAAATTTTTCTAAAACTCCTTTTAAACACCTTTAAAAAAAAACTAAAAAAAAAAAAAAAAAAATAAAAAAAAAAAAAAAAAAAAAAAAAAAAAAAATAAAAAAAAAAAAAAAAAAAAAAAAAAAATTTTAAAAATAAAATTTTTAAAAAAAAAAAAAAAAAATTATAACTTTATTTTAAAAAAAAACCTATAAACAAATTAAAATTTTTTTTATATATAAAAAATAAATAAAAAATAATTAAAAAAAAAAAAAAAAAAATAAAATACTCACCCTCCAAAAACTTAAAAAACACAAAAACTCCCCACCTCCAATAAAATACACAAACAAACAACCCAAACCCTCTCCTCAAGCCCCAATTTGCCCCTCCCCCCCTTTTCCCCCCAGGTGTGTATGTAAAATACACACCTCTGTGTAATCCCGTTACACCCTCCCCACCAATCCGTGGGACCCGACGTAAAAACCCACGATTTTTCGCACTTAATTGGAGGCATCGATTTCATTTTCTTCCCATTTTGCTTGTCTCGCAATAAGTGCGTCTAAAGCTTCTGTGTTTCTAACACTTGCTCCTTAAGCACCCGTGCATTGCACACACGCTTTATAAGCATCCTTGTGTTACAACACTCGCTCTTTGAGCATACAGTGCATCGCACTCACGCTAACGCATTTAAGTGTTACAACACTTGCTTATAAGCGCTAAACGCCAAGCACTTGGTATTAAAACCCTTTGTGTGTTTACGAACACTTGCTTTCACAGCACTAAGTGCCTAGCACTTGCTTTGAAGAGTTACAGTGTTCATGTGGCGGAGTGGGTTCTCAAAACTGCGTGATGAGACTCCAAGCCACTCACTGTGCCGGACTGCCGACTGTCGGAGGGGGTACCCCGATGCCACGTATAGACCTTCTCTCACCTTGTGTACCCTTCGGCTGGCGGGTTGCACTCTTCGGAGGTCTTGGTGGAGATGTGAAGTCGGCCTTGAGAGAGGTCAATCTTGGGGTGCCTCGACTGGATATACTTCACTCGGTAGGCGGGTAGGTGGCCACTCGGTCGACTAGGTCGAGGTTGGACTTATTTATAACCAAATTCTTCAGGAGAAATTCTCAACCCTGGCCTTTTCCTTGATATCTCAGGGGTGTTGACCTCCTGGCCTTTACTTGCTCCCGAACCACTAGGTTAGAGAGACCGCTTCCGATAGCGGGTCGATTGGGGGGTGCTACTCAGACCCGCCCACAAGCCAAATATATCCTGAGGCTCTATTCACACTCGGGTCTTACCACACAATTGCCTTCGACGGGGGGGACAAAATATATTCTTTCCCGGAATAGGTGGGTAGACTTAGTAAGTACCTTGGCAGCACGATGGAGGCGTGCTATGTAGATCGCAAATTGAATAGAATTGAATATAGTCATATCTTTTAACTTCTTTACTCTATCTTTACCCCCGAGACCTGATTCTTGATTCTGCTTGGCTAGGGTATAGACCGATGGGCCTGGGGGCCGGGAGGCCCAAAGTGCCGAGTGGTCGAGGCGCCGAGAGGCCGTGAGGCCAGGGAGGCCGAAAGTCCAGGGAGGCCAAAAGTCCAGGAAGGCCGATTGTCCAGGACGGCCGAGACTCCAGGCATCGGGTGGCCGGGTGACCGAGGGGACATGTGACTGAGGGGCCGGGTGACTGAAGGGTCGAGGAGCGGAGGGCATTTGATGCAGGATCAAGGTCGACCTTTATGTACAGGGGCCGAAGATCCGCTGGCTAAAAGGCCAAGGTCTACCTTTAGAAAAACCGAGGTCTATCAATGATAGACCTCGGTTTTTCATCGGGCTAACCGTGGTTATCTCCTCTGAATGGCGGCTAACTAGCACGCTTTGACCGTACGTTCTTCTCATCCAACGGTCGTTCCCCGTCCTTTTTTAGCGCAACGTCTCTCTGTCCCTTCCCCAACGGTCGCCCCTCCTTGGCGGGTCCCTTTCTCTTTGACCCACCGGTCCTCTGACCTACCAGTTCTTGAAACGGTTCACCCATTCACAACACTTGATCAACGGTACAGCCGCTTGAACACGCCCATGTATTCGACTTTTCCATCCCGTAAGTACTCCTAGTTTGTTTGGTGTTTCGATATCCGTTGTCTGACTTGATGTACCTCAGCTGTTCCTTCCTCTGGGGCAGACCCAACGACCGAGGAGCCGGTCTTGGGCACTCCTGCACTTGCCGCTGACCCAGAGGCCCAGGTTCCCTCCCAAATGCCGATCGACACTCCTCTCCAGATGCCCGGGCTAAGGGAGTCCACAAAGGTTCCTTCTGAGGCCGTAGGTGATAAGGGCCCACCAGACGTGGATGACACTCACTCGACCTCTAGCTCCTCGCTGCGGCGGACCACGTGGGGACGGTCACTTATGTCTCGCCCGTTGTTCCGTCGAGTGCTCCTCCGGCAACAGGCATTCATCGAAGTCGACCCGATCTATTGTGTCCGTCTCTAACGCGGCACTCGGTCGGTCAGGGGGGCTCTCTAACCCTCTTGAGTCTGGACAGATGTACCACAGGGAATAGCCTGTACTACGTACCTCGAGTTTCCAAGCGTGCTGCGTGCTCTCCCACCAGCTCTAGAACTGGAAATGGTCCATGCCAGAGGTGGGCCAGTTTCTTGGCGTACCCCTCTTTCACCCGGTCCAGGTAAAGCCACACTTGAGCTCCCGGCTGGATCTTGTGGTCGACCACCCCTTCATTATGGGCTAGGATCCGAGCTTGACTGGCCGCTAGTAGGTTTTATTTACCTGGGCTCTCGCCCGCTAATAGTGTTGCTGAATGTGATATGTCCATCTGCGTGGCCCAATGCCATAGTCATTACTGGAACAAGTACCCTTGGCCCTGAAGTATCTAGATGGATTAATGTACTGTGGTACCTCCGCCAATGATCCTTCATCCTTCCCCGTCAGGTCTTCCTGATAGTCGACCTGGTCGACCTGGTGGGTGGTGTATCCATACACCAGGTTTAGCCACTCGGCATATCTTCGAAACCCTACCGATACAAAACCCTGCGCCCTTGGTGCTTGGTCCTTCGTCAGCCACCTGTCTATCTTGGTGTCCTCGTGTAATATCAGGGGTTGGGTACTGACATTGGTTACCTTCAGGGACTTCCGACTTCCTACCTCTTGGTTCACAGTCGTGATCCATCGTTCTCCCCCTTGTCACCCACAACTTTCATTGGTGCGAGGTCGACCTTTTTAGAGGCACTTCCTCGTGCCTTCCAGCCGGTATCTGCACGTATCGACCCAACTTCACGTCTGATATCCGGTTATCGTTAAGGGTCCTTCGTCCTGCTAACTGTACTCGAACCTCATCGGGAAGACATAGTTTCCCATCCGCCAGATTCAGTCGAATACGGCTGGGACCATAAAGTCCATGTTTGAAATTGCATCCTGACCCACCATTAAGCTCGAAGGACCGCGGTTCCTCGAGGTGGACCCTAGTTTTTCGAGGTTGGCCCTGGTTTCTCAATAGTAAACTCTGGTCTTTCGTTGGTAGACCCTAATCCCTCGGTCACCCGGATCCTGGTCCATCGGTCACCCGGCCCCTCAATTGATATACCCTAGCCAAGCAGAATCAAGAATCAGGTCTAGGGGGTAAAGATAGAGCAAAGAAGTCAAAAGATATGACTATAGTCAATTCTATTCAATTTGCGATCTACATAGCACGCCTCCGTCGTGCTTCCAAGGTACTTACTAAGTCTACCCACCTGTTCCGGGAATGGATACGTTTTGGTCCCCCGTCGAAGACAATTGTGTGGTAAGACCCAAGTGCGAATAGAGCCTCAGGAAATATATATAGGCCTGTGGGTTCGTCTGAGTAGCACCCCCCAATCGACCCGATATCGGAAGCTCTCTTTTACCCGGGATTGAGAATTTCTCCTGAAGAATTTGGTTATAAATAAGTCCAACCTCGACCTAGTCGACTGAGTGGCCACCTACTAGCCTACCGATCGAAGTATGTCTACCCGTGGCACCCCAAGATCGAACTCTCTCAAGGCCGACTTCACATCTCAACCAAGTACTCTGAAGAGTGCAACCCGCCATCCGACGGGCACACAAGGTGAGAGAAGGTCTATACGTGGCATCGGGGTACCCCCCTCCGACAGTCGGCAGTCCGGCACAGTGAGTGGCTTGGAGTCTCATCACGCAGTTTTGAGAACCCACTCCGCCACATGAACACTGTAACTCTTCAAAGCAAGTGCTAGGCACTTAGTGCTGTGAAAGCAAGTGTTCGTAAACACACAAAGGGTTTTAATACCAAGTGCTTGGCGTTTAGCGCTTATAAGCAAGTGTTGTAACACTTAAATGCGTTAGCGTGAGTGCGATGCACTGTATGCTCAAAGAGCGAGTGTTGTAACACAAGGATGCTTATAAAGCGTGTGTGCAATGCACGGGTGCTTAAGGAGCAAGTGTTAGAAACACAGAAGCTTTAGACGCACTTATTGCGAGACAAGCAAAATGGGAAGAAAATGAAATCGATGCCTCCAATTAAGTGCGAAAAATCGTGGGTTTTTACGTCGGGTCCCACGGATTGGTGGGGAGGGTGTAACGGGATTACACAGAGGTGTGTATTTTACATACACACCTGCCACACCAAATGTGGTGTGGCTGTACCTTGGATACAAAAGTAGGTGATGCGACCGTACCTGAAGTACGAAGGTGGCAGAGAGCCACGTGGTCACTATACTTTTTAAGTATAGTGACTATACATGCTTGCATAATAGTAAAAGGCTATAGAGCCAGTAATAGTGACTAGCTCTAAGTATAGAGTAGGTGCTTCTATATTTAGTGTTAGAAGATAAACATAAAAAAATACAAATCTGTTTCAAACCTGCTCTATATGCATCACTGCTTGAGCGCTCTATTCCTCCTAAGAAATTAAGTTCTCTGATACTAGTCTCTTTGAGACACGGTTACAACAACCGATAGGCACAAGCTTACAAGCTAGCCTAGGAGGGTTAAACACCCTAGGACGTAAAAGCTCTCTGAGCTTGTCTTCCTCTGCACATAGTGCATAAGTAGCTTTACTACAGTGCTTGGCTACATCCTCTGCACATAGTGCATAAGTAGCGTGGCTACAGTAACTCGACTAAAGTACCTCCTAATATGTGAACACTTGTATTCACAATACTAACCTAAATACTATGCCTTTGTACCTTATTCACATCAACGTACCCAAAGTACAGCCACACCCACATGTGTGGCACGAGTGTGTGAAAAATACAAACCGCGTTACAACTTCGTGACCGCACCTGTCGTGACAGGATATGACTTTACCACAACAGCGTTTGATACTCTCAGCAATCCGTAGACGAATTAAATGATAGCGGCAGCAACAACAACGACGTAGTGATTATGGCACCAATGTTCGTTTTTACAGCGTAGTCTGGCGTAATCAAGGCTGCAAGTGAAGTCCATCCATGCAAATGGCGAAGACCAGAGGTGAGTTTTCAATGACACGATTCATCTACCAGACCAATTAACACAAGATACTCTGCTTTTTCTTAATCTAAACTCTTTTTCTTTTTTTCATTTTAAGCTGTACCTAATTTGGGAGCAGCGCGCTGACGCTTGTCGACGTACTGCCAAGTTGGAGTAGTAACAAGCCGCGTACGGCACGTCCCAGGACTCACCTTTTTGCTCAATCGTTCTTCAAAACATTGCAGTAACGCTCAATAGGATTAACGTAATTATTCGCGAAGTTTCACGATAACAATCTCGCATTAACGAACTCTCAGCCCATTTTCTTCATCGCACGGTCCTTTCGATTGTGGTTTGCTATCTTGGACTTGTTCTTGTCTTTTCTTGCTCGTTGGCGCTGGATTTGCTGCGGTGTTAGAGGCTCGTCATGCTTCTTTTCACCGGCTTGCTTACTGTCTTTTTGTCGTGCAGACTTGTGTTTCGGGCCTGAAAGATACTGTTGCCGACCTGGCATCGGCAGGCAAGGCTTTTGCTCGCCCAAATCGTCCTTTTCTTCTTTGTTGTCGCGGTCTTTATAATCATCTCCAAAAATCAGTGGAATCTCACGATTGCGGTTCTTCATGCCATCCCAAAATGCTCCCTTTTTCTCCTTTGCCCCCTTTTTTTTTTTTCTTCCCCAAAAGCCCCCCCCGTCGTATGCACTACCACCGTCGCGAACACCAAAGGGCACAAAGTCATCAAACTCGTCATTGTAGTCGCCGTCGTACTCGTCTGGTGCACCAACACCACCATAACTACCCTCCACACGATCGCAAACGCCATCTCCTCCGTACTCATTCTCCTCGTCGTACATAACAATAAGCTGTTTCATTTTTTCAACCAATTCATGGTCTGTGTTTCCAAATTTGGGGTCGTATAGCTTTTCCATTGTCTTTTTGCCCACCCATACTCGGCTCGGATCAAACTTCTTCATATTCTCAATTCTTGACGCGGGTGGTGATTTACCAGTGGCTTGTGCCTCCAAACGCGCAAAATCAGCATCCGATCGTTTTAGGTCATGAGGCACGTCAAGTAACGTGGGCGGTGGGTTGCTTTCCAGTAGAAAATTAATCACATGACCTCCACTTGCAGGTCAGAGCATAGGAGACAGAGCTCTACACAACCATCTCCCAGATCCGGGAAGAAGTCTTGCACTTGATGTACTATCGGGGCCAGCATTGTCCGTGTCGTTGACCTGAGAGCTTGCAAGCATAGCGTCTTCGGCCACATCACTAGTCGTGGGTGGTTTCCACTCCGTTGAATCAGTAGACAACAATGCCTTCGGACGAACCTTTGCAGCCAGATCGTCCATCAGCATCGTAGGAAGAATGCGTCGTCGCGGAAGTTGTTCTATCAGCATGTCCAGGTACAAAAAGTTTTCTATGTCTAATTTGCAGCGGTCGAAATAGTCTGCAACCTATTCCTTGTACTCGCAAAAATACCACAAGTCACTTAGGAACGACCCGTGCTCGGCATCGTCGTCCAAACAGCCATTACTCAAAGCATGCAGACCAGCCAGCAGCTTCTCTCCACTAGACAAGTCTATGTTGTGCATCAAAACGTCTGCACAGCGTCTTAACACTTCAAGAAGCATCTGTCTCGTCTCCGCAATCCGTAAACGCTGCAGAGTCGCTACCTCGTCGTGAGAAGTTGATACATGCTGATGCAAGGTCGGCAATAACATCTCGTAGCATTGTACTACACCATAGAACATCGTCTGGTCCTGCAGTGTCAGCTCCATATCCAAATCCTTCCCGTCCAGCAGCAGAACTTCATCATTGACGTAGCCGTCGTCATTCCACCCAAAGACAGACTAAACTCGTACATGCTTCGAATCAAATCCACCACTTGGTCCCGTTTAGCCTGCACTACTTTCACATAGAGGTCGTGCAATTGCTGAATGTAAAACTGCCGCAACATCACCGTAGTCGTCGAAAACGTAGCAACATTATTGACAAGACCGTCTGAAAGGTTTGCCACCGCACTAGCGTTTTTGACACCGCAGAGCTGACAGAAAGGGACCAGTCTTGTTACGTGCAGCAACCCGCAGTCCATTGCTCGCTGTAGCAGCTGTGGTTGGGCGTCTACTAGACGGAGAAAGAGCGAAAACACGGCACCAGAGTCGACTAAAAGCGTTTTTGCTACTGCCTCGTGGCTCTCGTTGTTGTTATCGCAGTCTACGCGCGTCTGTAGTGCTATACCACGTGACAAATAGTTATTAATCAAATGGACAAGTGGCGATATTTGATTACTTATGAAATAGGTTTCAAGGTCAGCGTCCGAAGACGCCACCAGCGTGGACACCACTGTCTTAAGTGCCATACGTTTAGTCAATATTCGAACTTTTCCCTATGATAAATTATACAAAATACAAAAGGATTGAATGACATAGGAATCTGTCGTAATAAACAGCATACCTGTCCTACTTGTTGTTGAAATGGGCCATCTGACTTTCAACTGTTCATGTCTGTTTGCTGTCATTAACGAGTCGATAGGCAATATTTGCCAAGGCAACGATCAATATCTTCAGCAATGATATGCCCAGTTCGCGACACGAGAAAAGAAAAAAGGACCGCAGAGGGACGCAGCAACATGATCAAGAGTGTATGTTTATGGTAGCTACGAATGTACGAGGATCGGGAAGAAAACTTGTGACCCTCAAAAAGATGGTGTAGTAATACTCCTGGCCACTTTGGACCGGAGATGGGTTGTCGGTGAAGACAAACAGACACCAGTGACATGAAGGTTTGAGCACTAGAAGCTGTTTTGCAACAAACCTTTGACAGCGAAGAGTAGCAACTTTTGTGATCACGATTGCTAAACCTATAAGAAGACTAAGTGGGCTCAAGTACGTCGCGTTAGCTACGAGAAAACATGCCAGACATTCAATATATCAATTGGTTTTCAATCGCGCTGTTCTATTACGATACTAGTAGTAGAAACGCCCTCGTTGACAAGAACACGAACAGCCGTGTATAATGTGCTACCAAGCCGTCGAATGTCCTTGTTCATTGACTAATAACTTTGCATAAGAAATAACGTCGAAACACCTCCAGAACAGACAGGTACAACAGAGCTTGATGTTGTCTTTTCTTCTTCTTTTGACAAAATGTAAGCATATCCTTTTGCAAGCCCTGCCCCAAACCAAAAGGAATACCGGCAAAACGGGCAGGCTTGATGTAGTCAACTCTGGCCGCTGCTGCTTTATGGGTCAACCCATAAAGCAACGTGAGTAGCAATCTTGATGGTCACAATGTTACTGAAGTTTTTGTAGAGGGCAAATGCCATCGTGATACTGAACCATTAGTAGGAATGCCACCGTTAACGAAAACAAGAACAACGACTTTGTGTATATAGATAGTGCCTTCTTGATATTCACTCTACCGAACCTTTGGATATCGTTCTTCGTTATCTTTATACTCACTAAGGGATGCAAAAAGAAACGTTATATACTTATAAGTGACGCAGCTAGCTAGTTAAAGTGCAGCTAGCTAGCTAGCTAAAGTGCTCGTATATTGTCAACGAGTCTTCGCTTTAGTCAGCGTTCCAATGACATGACGTAGTCTTGTGAAAGCTAGTGCCCAGATACTGATCGGGACATGAGCAGAATGTGTAACATGCAACTGGCCAATCGACTTCACACGCAACACTCCAACCAACAGACCATGCCGGTGATATTACACAAGCGTTCTACATTTGATATAAAACCACACTAGTAAGATGGTACCTTCACATTGTCATTTGAACAGCGGGTCGTGACTTACCGATCTGACGACAAGGAGCAGCCCCATGGTTTTATTCGTGACAGCTATCACCACGACGACTCAAACGAGACTGGAACAAACTCAGACACTGAAAGGCCACAGCCTAGAACGGTGTCAACGTCTAACTCAGCCAGAATCATGAAGTCGGCACATTCTTGCGATAGCTTCTGCAGAATGGTCGAGATCGTACTTGCATTGCTTCAAACCCGTTAAAATGCCACTTGTTAACGTTGACCTCGCACTTGCCTTACAGCGCCATGAGCTTCTTGCGTTATTCATGCATCGTATGCAGCAATTAGTCGGGCGGGCAATGTCAGTGAAAAGTCGTTTAAACCATCATACCATGTCGTAGTATCTTCTTTGCAAACGACTATTCGACTTCCATAAGGCTTCATCCGTCATGGCCACATCCATTGGCAGCACCAACATAGACATGTTTTCGTTATTGTTAGCAACGTTCCACAACACTATCGCCGGTCCACGATATGCCTCCGGTCGGTACAGGATGTCTTCCCAGTAGAAATTATCCATGACCTCCACTTGCAGGTTAAAGCATAGGAGACAGAGCTCTACACAACCATCTACCAGATCCGGGAAGAAGTCTTGCACTTGATGTACTATCGGGGCCAGCATTGCCTCCGTGTCGTTGACCTGAGAACTTGCAAGCATAGCGTCTTCGGCCACATCACTAGTCTTGGGTGGTTTCCACTCCGTTGAATCAGTAGACAACAATGCCTTCGGACGAACCTTTGCAGCCAGATCGTCCATCAGCATCGTAGGAAGAATGCGTCATCGCGGAAGTTGTTCTATCAGCATGTCCAGGTACAAAAAGTTTTCTAAGTCTAATTTGCAGCGGTCGAAATAGTCTGCAACCTATTCCTTGTACTCGCAAAAATACCACAAGTCACTTAGGAACGACCCGTGCTCGGCATCGTCGTCCAAACAGCCATTACTCAAAGCATGCAGACCAGCCAGCAGCTTCTCTCCACTCGACAAGTCTATGTTGTGCATCAAAACGTCTGCACAGCGTCTTAACACTTCAAGAAGCATCTGTCTCGTCTCCACAATCCGTAAACGCTGCAGAGTCACTACCTCGTCGTGAGAAGTTGATACATGCTGATGCAAGGTCGGCAATAACATCTCGTAGCATTGTACTACACCATAGAGCATCGTCTGGTCCTGCAGTGTCAGCTCCATATCCAAATCCTTCCCGTCCAGCAGCAGCAACTTCATCATTGACGTAGCCGTCGTCATTCCACCCAAAGACAGACTAAACTCGTACATGCTTCGAATCAAATCCACCACTTGGTCCCGTTTAGCCTGCACTACTTTCACATAGAGGTCGTGCAGTTGCTGAATGTAAAACTGCCGCAACATCACCGTAGTCGTCGAAAACGTAGCAAATTATTGACAAGACCGTCTGAAAGGTTTGCCACCGCACTAGCGTTTTTGACACCGCAGAGCTGACAGAAAGGGACCAGTCTTGTTACGTGCAGCAACCCGCAGTCCATTGCTCGCTGTAGCAGCTGTGGTTGGGCGTCTACTAGACGGAGAAAGAGCGAAAACACGGCACCAGAGTCGACTAAAAGCGTTTTTGCTACTGCCTCGTGGCTCTCGTTGTTGTTATCGCAGTCTACGCGCGTCTGTAGTGCTATACCACGTGACAAATAGTTATTAATCAAATGGACAAGTGGCGATATTTGATTACTTATGAAATAGGTTTCAAGGTCAGCGTCCGAAGACGCCACCAGCGTGGACACCACTGTCTTAAGTGCCATACGTTTAGTCAATATTCGAACTTTTCCCTATGATAAATTATACAAAATACAAAAGGATTGAATGACATAGGAATCTGTCGTAATAAACAGCATACCTGTCCTACTTGTTGTTGAAATGGGCCATCTGACTTTCAACTGTTCATGTCTGTTTGCTGTCATTAACGAGTCGATAGGCAATATTTGCCAAGGCAACGATCAATATCTTCAGCAATGATATGCCCAGTTCGCGACACGAGAAAAGAAAAAAAGGACCGCAGAGGACGAACATACGCAGCAACATGATCAAGAGTGTATGTTTATGGTAGCTACGAATGTACGAGGATCGGGAAGAAAACTTGTGACCCTCAAAAAGATGGTGTAGTAATACTCCTGGCCACTTTGGACCGGAGATGGGTTGTCGGTGAAGACAAACAGACACCAGTGACATGAAGGTTTGAGCACTAGAAGCTGTTTTGCAACAAACCTTTGACAGCGAAGAGTAGCAACTTTTGATCACGATTGCTAAACCTATAAGAAGACTAAGTGGGCTCAAGTACGTCGCGTTAGCTACGAGAAAACATGCCAGACATTCAATATATCAATTGGTTTTCAATCGCGCTGTTCTATTACGATACTAGTAGTAGAAACGCCCTCGTTGACAAGAACACGAACAGCCGTGTATAATGTGCTACCAAGCCGTCAAATGTCCTTGTTCATTGACTAATAACTTTGCGTAAGAAATAACGTCGAAACACCTCCAGAACAGACAGGTACAACAGAGCTTGATGTTGTCTTTTCTTCTTCTTTTGACAAAATGTAAGCATATCCTTTTGCAAGCCCTGCCCCAAACCAAAAGGAATACCGGCAAAACGGGCAGGCTTGATGTAGTCAACTCTGGCCGCGCCCCGCTGCTGCTTTATGGGTCAACCCATAAAGCAACGTGAGTAGCAATCTTGATGGTCACAATGTTACTGAAGTTTTTGTAGAGGGCAAATGCCATCGTGATACTGAACCATTAGTAGGAATGCCACCGTTAACGAAAACAAGAACAACGACTTTGTGTATATAGATAGTGCCTTCTTGATATTCACTCTACCGAACCTTTGGATATCGTTCTTCGTTATCTTTATACTTACTAAGGGATGCAAAAAGAAACGTTATATACTTATAAGTGACGCAGCTAGCTAGTTAAAGTGCAGCTAGCTAGCTAGCTAAAGTGCTCGTATATTGTCAACGAGTCTTCGCTTTAGTCAGCGTTCCAATGACATGACGTAGTCTTGTGAAAGCTAGTGCCCAGATACTGATCGGGACATGAGCAGAATGTGTAACATGCAACTGGCCAATCGACTTCACACGCAACACTCCAACCAACAGACCATGCCGGTGATATTACACAAGCGTTCTACATTTGATATAAAACCACACTAGTAAGATGGTGCCTTCACATTGTCATTTGAACAGCGGGTCGTGACTTACCGATCTGACGACAAGGAGCAGCCCCATGGTTTTATTCGTGACAGCTATCACCACGACGACTCAAACGAGACTGGAACAAACTCAGACACTGAAAGGCCACAGCCTAGAACGGTGTCAACGTCTAACTCAGCCAGAATCATGAAGTCGGCACATTCTTGCGATAGCTTCTGCAGAATGGTCGAGATCGTACTTGCATTGCTTCAAACCCGTTAAAATGCCACTTGTTAACGTTGACCTCGCACTTGCCTTACAGCGCCATGAGCTTCTTGCGTTATTCATGCATCGTATGCAGCAATTAGTCGGGCGGGCAATGTCAGTGAAAAGT